GTTTCTTTAGTAACAGTATGGACTACCTCATGGAGGGTCAAAGCCTTTGCAAAACTGATAACAAAAGAATATCCCCTGGATGAAACTTCAAAAGGACGATTCAACTTGAACAACAGCTGCGAAAAACCACATGCAAGCAAAGCTAATGAAAAATTTGGTACACAAGTAAAGCTATAATTGTGAAAGCAGAAAAGGACACTATGATCAATATGATGGCTGTTGTGTACACTAACCCTAGATTGACAGGCAAAGAGATACTGTCTAAAATCAAATTCTCTAAACGAATCATCTTGCACAATTTGTGTCAGTGGTTTGAATCCTGGTTTCAGCAGCGCAGCTTGGTCATCTTCACTGTCGAATCCTCCAAACTCCCTCTGTTTCCCAGGCATATTAACTGCATCGTGGTTAATGCATGGTCGATTATTCAGGGGAAAACTTGGAAAAAGAAATCAGTTTGTTGGATGACTACTGATCTCAATGCTTTAAAACATAACGATAGATGTCAGGTTTGTCAAAAACCTAAGAACATAAAATTACGTATAATCTATCTTCCTGCTATTGAATTGACAAATGCACAAAAATAGTAAATAGACAAAATCATGGATTTTTTCTTGCCACGGCTATGCAAGGGAGAGACACAGAGGTAGAAAAAGAACCTGTTTCCAAATAGCAGAGCTCTAGTTCATCATATTCACGTAATGCATCTTCATGAAGATGAGCCATCTCAAATATGAAAGCCAAACTTTCCTGAGATATAATACAACATTATGACATTTACGAAAATGAGAAAAGTTTCATCAAATATGACTGAAAGGACCAAAAGTGGTATTTCTAAGTTTAACAGATCAGGGTTCTTCTTCATAATTCTATGGAGATAACAAAAGGGGCACATGATTCGCCATCAGAGGCTTTACCAAAACAGTATACAATCAAGTAACAAAAATGGACAAGAGAGATAACCTTCAGGATGAAGAAGTTACAAAAGTTCCATATGGGCATAAACCGCTGCTCGCTGAGCTTGCGTATCTCATCCTCGTAGAACTGAACGCGCCTATCCAAGGTATTCCTGATGCACTCTGTAATCTTTAATTCTAGATCCTCCCAGAAATTTGTGTCGGGGCCATGTATATCCAGCTTACAGCACCTTACAAGTATCACAAAAATCATCATATGAAGACCATGTATGGCATATATCAATTGAATAAAACTGATCAAGTAAATGAAAACGTGTCACACCTTCAGCATTATCGTAAGTAACTAATCTACAGATAACATCCTTTCAATGAGTGATTACTGCTAAATGGGTTTAGTTTATGCATCTAGCCAAAAAGATGACCAAGTGCAATTGTGCAACTGCTTATCCTAATCTAATTTTGTTAGAATTATATATTAGTAGGAGCAATCGAGCCTCTTTCAGAATCTGGAATGGTTTAACTTTGGTTCTAGAACACATGTATTGAAAAAAAACAACACTGCCCAATCTGGGATTTCTAACCTTTCTCTCTTTTTCGAACTGAAGTCAACTTCAAGCTTGGCATATACTTTCTTGACAGATTTAGTTGCTTGATCATTACTTGGGTGAGCCTTAGATACAAATACAATAAACCACTCCCTCTCATCGTTCTGAACAATTAATTTCAGACGTGGTTTAAGAATGTTTTTGAACTCATCAAGATCCTGCAAGGCCAAAGATATATAACGTAACCAAATAAGTGATCTTGGAAAAATAACCAATACAGCAAAGGAAGACACAGAAGTTTCATTGTTTCCACTCTCCACTGCCAAGAATGACACATAGAAAAGAAAACAAGACAAGTACCTCACACGTCACAAGAACTATAGTTGCGTATGGTTCTCGAAACCAGAACAAATACTGCTCCTGAGGGAATCGACTGCGAAGCCTGGCGTCTGTGGTTAATATGAACTCAACCGGCAAGTTCTCAACAAGCACCGGGTTTCGAGTCTTGTTCGTCAAGAATGCTCTCTTTAATGGCTGATGCTCTTCAAACAAACCTTTCACAGTGGGCCACAGATCACACACATCTTCGACTGTAATAAATGGGAAGCTAAAGTAAGATCCACAGTGTAAAGCAAACAGATAGAGAAAAAACGCCTTAGCATCATCCATGGAATCACTGGTCAAGCCGTCACAGTGATGTTTCAGCAACAATATTACAAATTTATAATCTCTGAAGCTCCAAAAGACTTCAAAACGAAGAATCTAACAACCAAATCACATTGTGAATTCGTTATCGGACTTCAACTACATTTGGAAACTTCTAATTTTACATGATTCTGATTACAAAGAAAAAAATGTTCTCGTGAAAAAAACTTCAAAGCCACTAAAGTCTGACTATCAGATCGCAAAATGTGGCAGACAGATCCTAAACGAAGAGGCAGAGTGCAGTAAAACTAGAGGAACAAAAAGACCAGATTGAGAAATTTTACCGGCGGCGACGACGCGATCGCAGGAATGCTTAATCGTCTGGAACTGAGCCAAATAGTTGGCCATCTGAGTAGTGGAAATTGCCGACGCCGGAATCTTCGATAAGATCCGAAATCGGTCTTAACTTGAGAAGACAATAGGGAAGTGAAATCAGAAGAAGCAGAGGGGGAAGAAGGTGAAGCAGATTCGAGAAGAGAAAGCTACTCTACTGTTAATTGTTGATCAAATCAAATGGATACAGTTTTACTTTTATCATTTTTCATTATAATCCCAAATCAAATGTATGCTCAAGCTGTATAACAAAACATAACAGATGAGGGCATTAATGTAAATAAAACCATTTCTAGATCGATTTGGGCTTTAATCTTCATCTTTACTCTCTTAGGCCCAATCAAAGCCCAAGACTTATTATTCGATTCATTGCATCAATCTTAAAGCCACCACATGCAATACAAGTATACAACTATAACAACAGCATCTCGAAATTCTTTAGTTTATCAAAATATAAGTATACAGAATTACATATTATATATCTTCTTATATTTTGACAGCAGCTCAGTGCCGAAGAAAGAAAGGCCCAAGAATATCTACTGACCGACTTTATTACAACGGCATAACCTAAATTATACTTTTGATTCCGCAAGGCAGAAGAAGCTAAAATCAAAACTTAGCCGCAGACCCTTTCTCTAGGTATTATACTCTCTCAAAAGGGTTTATATAACTTTTTTTGTTATGGACATCTTATGGTCGCTTCAGCACCTTGTTTTGTTGACGGTGTGGAAGCTCTTGAGTGCCAAGAGTCGGCAGGACCGGATTATGGACTTTCTGGCTTCGTTTACGTGGCAATAGACATAATCACTCATTATGTTGTAATTCGTTGATCGATCTCTTTCTTGAATATATTTTAATATTTTGTACTTATGCCTTTAGGAAACAAAAAAAAAACTACTTCGTACTTCTATATTTTGAACAATAATCAATATATCACAACAACAAAATTTGGATTGTAGCAAAGTCAAACCAAATATGCAATCAAACGAGTGCGAAACTTGAGAACCAAACCCATCACACTGATTAGACCAACAACTGGAGTGGTATATATTCCATGTGTGCTTAGCCGAATATATATGCAAAATTTTAGAAAGAGTAGTGCAGTTCTCGTGTATTATACAAAATTCAACAATATTTATTATAAAAAAACTCATAAACCCTTTTTTTAATAAAAACTTACGAATATTATTATTGTAGTAAATCATATAATTTTATTTTTGCTTATATAAGTATAAATTAAAGCTTACCAAAATCAAGCTTCTCAAACTTTTTCACGCGGTTTTTATCTAGACTTTTGCCCGTTACGATTTCATGATATTGTTTTATGACATTATAAAAGCTACAACAAGCTAAATAATAATAATTATGATATGTTTTTCTATATATCTGTACATATTTTACTGTTATTGTGAAATGTTTAGAATGTAATAAATTAAAGTCATTGCCCACATTTATACAATAATAACAAAAACGATTTGGATGATAATGGGTCAATACAACATTACAACATGACATAAACAAGACTTGTTGAATATTGTATTACTCTAAACTGTTTATAATAATGTAGTAAATTAACGTAGCATAATGTATATATGACAATAAGATTTGTGTAATGACTAATTTATATTTTTTTGTACTTAATAATAATTTATGTAACTTTCATAAGTTATATTTTTTTAGTTGGTAATTTATACTTACAGTACAAGTTGTTGTAAGAATAAAGAAACAAATTTTAGTGTAATTGATACTTATGAATAAGTGGGACTTACATTTTTGGTGAAAATTAGTTTTATTCGACTAACATTGGTTCTTTTAGAAAAGGAATAACATTAATCTGTATGTTTGTAGCATTGGAAAAAAAAAACTGTTTACATTTTTGCAACTGATTTTTCTAACATTCTTTAACGGTGCATGATTTATCTATGTTTCTTACAACGTGTAATCATTTCACAAGACTATTCCTGAGTTCTCTCCTCGAGAGGAATCAAAATCTAGTCCGTTCTGTAATAGGGTCACCATTACATCAATCCCATTCGAGTCAACGTTCGTCCCCATTCCCCAAAGCTCATGTGAGAGTGAGAGATACGTGAAGGGTGTCTGAGGTTTGTCTCTGAAATGTGGCCTAGGTAAAATATAAAACACATAACAATTCCACTGATCCTGATCACACAATAGAGTATCAAACTTCAAACACAAGATTCGATTATCTAAATTACCGTAAACATATAATAATTTCATGTCACTACAAAAATGACAATAAATCCATCTTGTAATTTGTTTTCGTTGATGATGGGCTTAAAGGAAACAATTTCACATAATGCTTCACTGTCACTTGTGTAAAAAGCATATGCGCATTTGGAATTTTTTTATTTACTTTGATTAATAATAGGAGAATAACAGATAAAACACGCTTCGTCTTCCTCTATCCTCTCTCTTACGGAAAATCTCTCTCACTTTATTTTGTTTTTTCACTTTCCGGCGATCAAAGGAACCTCTCGAAACCATGAATCCAGATTCCGATCATCCTCAGCTTCCCAACATCAAAATCCACCACCCTCCTTCCCCTCGTCACTCTCACCACTCTCACCACCACTCCCACTCCTCCTCCACTCCCTCCTCCGCCGCAACCCAAACCCCCACAGCCGGAGCTCGCCGTAAGATCGGAGTCGCCATCGATCTCTCCGAGGAGAGCGCTTTCGCCGTCCGCTGGGCCGTAGATCACTACATCCGTCCCGGAGACGCAGTTGTCCTCCTCCACGTCTCCCCTACCTCCGTCCTCTTCGGCGCCGATTGGGGACCTCTCCCTCTCAAAACCCAGCCTCCTCTCGAAGATCCATCAGCTCAATCGCAGCAATCGCAGCCAAGTCAGGAGGATTTCGACGCTTTCACTTCATCCAAAGTGGCGGATCTCGCCAAGCCGCTGAAGGAGAGTGGGTTCCCGTATAAGATCCATATAGTAAAGGATCACGATATGAGGGAGAGATTGTGCCTTGAGATCGAGAGGCTTGGCCTGAGCGCTGTGATCATGGGAAGCAGAGGTTTTGGCGCTGAGAAGAGGGGAAGCGATGGCAAGCTTGGGTCAGTCAGTGATTACTGTGTTCACCACTGTGTTTGCCCCGTCGTTGTGGTTAGATACCCTGATGATCGTGACGGACCTGTCCCTGTTGTTACCGTCAAGCCAGGTGTTGTTGTTGATGATGAAGACGTTGATGAGGCTACTACTAAGCCCGTTGCTCATCATGAACACATCAAAGGTAAGGGATTCAAGCAAATACTCTTTCTCTTTGCGTTAGTAATTGATGAGTGCTTTAGTACTTTCTTCTTCTGTTAGATTACTGAGTGTTGTGATTTCTGTAGTCACTTGAATATGTGAGTTATTGCCACAGAAGGGAGGCTCAAGTTATGTTGGTTGAGTGAAAGATATTTTTCCATTTTCATCGGATTCTGATGTTTGATTATGGCCACTTAGTTGAGTCTTTCAGCCTTAGCATAAGTGAATCTATGAATTGGTAATTGTTTCATTTCTTCTTCATCTGCTGAAACTCTTTATTTATTCTCTGATTTACTGAAGTTAGATTCTTTCTGGTGGTTAAGGTTGATTTCTTGTAATCTTAGGTAGATGACTCTTGTTCCACTGCAATTTGGGGAAAGAAACTTGTACACTTGTTTTAATTCTTGCCTTATTTACACTGCTTTTACCCACATTGATACTCTCTGTGGTGTGTGCCCTAGTCTTCTGAAAAAAACTGATATTGCATTGGATTAACATACTCTTGCACCCACTGTTCCAAAAGAAAGTTAATTGTGGCCCCTTGGGTTTAGTTTGAGGCAATATTGTTTGTAGTTAGCATGCTATCCAAGTATCATGATTCTTGAAATGGGAAATGATAAAGCTGATAAATGCTGCTCATAGATCTGACAGGAAGCTTCAGTGTAAGTAGAATTTTTTTGCTATAATCCAGACTAGAAAATTTTATAATAGAGGGATGTTTACAGAGAAGGTGCTAGAAAAAGCATGGGGTCTTGTAGATAGAATCGGGCTGTGTAAATAAGCTAAAAAAGGCTGAAGGGTCGGTCCATTTGCTATCGTTATTGTACTGCAACACATCGTCTGTTTGATTTATTCAGTGTTTCCTCTTTGTGTATCTTCAAATCTTGAGAAGGTTTTGTGGAAAAATGATCATTCCCGTAAATGAAAGTAAATACTGTTTTATCAACTATAAAGACCAAAGAATAATTTGTATTGTTCCTCAGTATCATTTGTTTCTTTTCACTCAGATGAGTAACGCTTCTTTGGGATCTGGTCAGGATCGTGATCTTTACAGCACCCAGGTAAATATTTTAATTGGAAAACTCACATCAACTATCTTTTAAGAGGTTACATCCCCTAAGTATATTTGTTGATCATTCTTTATTTCTGTGTGTTTTGGAATTGGAAAGGTACACAACAGAAAAGAAGTAGGAGTTGTAGCGTGGTCAGAGGAGGAGTGTCTTGTGTGTTCTATCTTTAGCTATCACTATATGTATGTTTGATGAATTTCTGAGATTTGTTTGGAATGTCTTCGTCTTGTCCATGTAATGGTTTCTGAGGAGCTGGTATAACTACTGAAACCCTTTTAGGTTATTTCTTTAGAAAGAAGAATGATTCTGATCATTTTCAATAAAGACTGGTGGTGGTGGTGGTGGTTTAGGTTTTGTTCTGGTCGTGTGAAAGAGTGAATGTTAAGTTAGATTAGATCCGTCTTTAGTTAATGTTAAAATCAAATCGGATTTATGGCTTTGGTTTGGCGTCTTGAATTTTAGATTTGTAGTTGGACTTATGAAGCAAAACGTCTCTGAAAATTCAATTCAAGAATAAGAAATGGTCTCAAGTTCTCAACAGCTCATACTAAGTGTGTAGTGTAAATAAATAAAAAACAAATTCTAGATCAATTAGGGCATAAAACTTCAATCTAGTATGTCTTGAGGTGAAATGAAGAAAGGACCCCCGAAAGTTGCAATAACAGTATAGAGAAAGGAATCAGGGAGATGGACAAATCCCACTTCGTCGGAATCCAAGATATGGACATAGTTGGACGCCAGTCCTGGAAAGGAGCTAGCAAGGACACAGAAAGGCTCGGACTTCGAGATGAACATGACGAGATCCCCAATGTCTTGAGTGTACACAGCGTTGCCTTCTCCGTCAAGCCTGAACACCATCAGAGCTCTCGTCCGCATTTTCGCCATACCATCCTTGACACGTTCGGTCTTCCTGTACCGCTTAACCAAGAAGGTTTCCCCTGTGGGTTCCGACTCCACCAAGAGCTGGCTCGCGCTGCAAGAATCAAGAAGCTCGCGTCTGGCCTTGGTCACCTTGGGAACGTTTCGAAACCGCAGCTTCTCAAGGCTGGGACTGGGACTGTCGGGGTCTAGATCCCATGACTCGATGAGGTGGCCTCCGGAACAGGGAATGCGAAACACGTTGTCTTTCTTGGAGAACATGACTCGGGAGGAGTAGAAGCAATGGCTTTTGATTCTCACGTTGACCCACTTGGGGGTTTTCCGAGCTGGTCTGCAAAAGCTGAGCTGAGGTCCCAAGAACTTGACAGCCACGACACAGTCTCGATCCTCTGGAGAAGATGAGGACATGGCCACGTTGGTGACGAATTGCGCTTGGCAGCGAGGCAGAGGGAATAAAGGAGGCAGAGGGATGCGTTTCGGGTGTGTATAGGATGCATATGGGTTTAGGTCGTCTTGGAGACGAAATACGCCATCGTCCTTCAAAGTAGCTACCCAGCCGTGAGATAAACCAATCACTACCGATGAGAAGGTGGATCTGGCACTGGATAACAACTCGTAATCCACTCTCTTTTCCAAATGAGTGGAGTCACCACCACCGTTAGCATTGGAAATGACGAGTTTACCGCCTTGTGAAACACCCACTCCATAAGGTACAGCCCCGATGATGGTACACGGAGGGGTTTGCTTTAGCATCGAGGAAGTTGATGAGAAGCCATTAGAGAGAAGAAGAATAGAGGATCTTCTCACCAGCGAAGCTTTCCCAAGGGAGAGCCGGCTGAGAAACAAAGACATGAAATGCTGTTCTTTAGAGATTTAAAAGAGAGAGAGAGAGAGAGGGAAAAAAAACAAAGATGTTTGTTCCATCTTCTTCGACCTAAAATACTTAGGAATGGCCCTTGGCCACCAAGTATTTTTGTTCTTCTCACACAACCTAATATTTTTTAGATAATTTCGATATCTATGATTATATTTTTATTTAATTGTTTCAGCATGATTTTTATGAATTTGCTTGTGGGAGTGAGCATGGAAACCTTAAGGAAATGTAAATTTCAGCATGTAAATTCAAGATCTCGGATATTTAGATTTGGAGTTGGACTTGTTTTTAAGGAAATAAAGCAAAACGTTTTGGGAAATTTCTTCAAACCGCATTTCATTCAAAGAAAAAGAATTGGGAAATATGTGCCAATATGATATTGCAAGTGGTTTGAGATATCAAGTAATTATCTTCACAATTAACTCAAATATTAAGGTATCATATAATGATATCAACAGTTCAAATTACCAAACAATGCATGTGTGTATTCGATCACTGCCAGTCTGCCATCGCTTCAACCGCACGTAACCTGCTTACAATTTGTAAAACTGTAAGTTAGCGAATAAATAAAAACATACATTACTTTGCTTTGGTAATATAACATAAGTAGGCAGAGATAGGTTTTGGATGGTTAGTCAAATCAGAGCCAAATCTCCAACTGTTGAACGAGAGAGAGGTCTACTAATTTAATTCTTTGATTTCTCCAAGCACAAGAAGAGATGCGTTGAACACTCAACATGAATTGAAAATGCCGAACTTAAATCACACGAAACAACGATACATAGTTAAAGATGTTACACCAATTGCAACAATGGAATCTACTACGCAGTGGATGAGCTTCTGCTAGTCTATCTTTTGGGGTGGAATCTGGTAAGGGAGATCAAATTCTCCACTTCCAGTAGTGACAGAAGAACTGACGAGACGGAACCTTCCGAATTCGTCCACATCGAAGAATTCGACGATGTTAGGGACCATGCCTGGAAAGAGCTAGGAGGGACACAGAAAGGCTTGGAGTTTGAGATGAAGATTCTGAGATCCCCAATGTCTTCAGTGTAAACCGCGTTACCTTCTCCGTCTAACCTGAAGACCATCACAGCTCTCGTTATCATCTTCTCCATAACCCTCCGGTCGGTTTCGGTGTTCATGTACAACCTAACCAAGAAAGTTTCGCCTGTGGAATGTGGATTCTGACTCCACCAAGTGGTTGCTCGTGCTGCAAGAATGCATAAGCTCCCGTTTGGTATTGGTCAGCTTGGGAAGGTCTCGAAACCGCAGCGTCTGGAAGTTGGGATTGGGATGATCGAGATTGAGATCCCACGATCCGATGAGGTGGCCTCCGGAACTGGGAATGCGAAACATGTTGTCTTTCTTGGAAAACATGACTCGGGAGGAAGAGAAGCATGGGTTTTGGATTCTGACGTTGGTCCACTCGGGGTTGCTTTGAGCGGCAGGTCTGCAAAAGCTGAGCTGAGGTCCCAAGAACTTGACAGCCACGACACAGTCTTGATCCTCTGGAGAAGATGAGGACATGGCCACGTTGGTGACGATTTGAGTTTGGCAATGAGGCAGAGTCACAAGAAGAGGCAGAGGGATGCGTTTCGGGTGTGTAGACGATGCATAAGGGTTTACATCGTCTTGGAGACGCCATATGCCATCGTCCATTAAATGAGCCACCCAGCCATGAGAAGCACCGATCTTTACCATGGGATCACAATTCACCACCTCCGAAGGCACCTTCTTGTCAAGAGTAGTGCAGTCATCGTCGGGAGCATTGAAAATGTAGAGCTTTCCCTTGCTAGGATGAGCGGCGAGGATGTTACAAGGAGGTGTCTGCTTTTGCACCGATGAAGATGAGAAGAAATTAGAGAGAAGACCAAGAGAAAGATATGCTCTCCTGCTCACCAACGCAGGTTTCGAGAGCCGGCTTAGAAGCAGAGACATGAGTGAGTGTTCTTAAGGCGAAGAACAAAAAAAGACAAGAGATTCACAAGAAAGAAACACCTAAATTGACGAATGGATTGGTCATGTTCAAATCTTCTCTACCTCCATTAATACAGAAACAATGGACTTGCCCACCAAGTTTTTTTCTATCTCCAAATTGTGTCAAGCATTAACAATTTGGATATTTTTCTTTCCGAAATCCCTAAGCATCATTATTTGAATTCCAACAGTTCAAATGTTTTCTACTTAAAACATAATATTGAAAGTTGGTTTGTGATGTTAAAGTTGTACAAGTTCCATTTCTTACCTATCACACGATGTTAAAATATTTATCAGGGTTATTTGGGGTATCTTGTCTTCTCCATGTAATGGTTTCTGTATTACAAACATGAAGAAATTTGTATGATTACCCTTTTGGTTTTTCGTTTCATCTTCAATAAAGACTGGTAGTTTAGTTTTGTCTCTTGTGTGAGAGTGAATGACTGAATGTTAAGTATGTTTAGATTGGGCTTGTCTTTAGTTTATGTTAAAATCAAATAAAGACTGGTAGATTGGAGTTTTAAACTTTGAAGTTTGACTAAAAGATGGTTTAAAAAAAAAAACATGATCTATAAATGATAAATTAAGTTAATTAATATTATACATTTAACAATTAAACCATGGGAGGTTCAAACACAGTTTACAAATTAAAATATGACATATATTTAACGTTCTTGACGAGTAAAATACAAGTAAAAATTTAGAGGAGAACACAAATGAATTAATATCTTACTCTGTTTTCACAACTTTTTTTGTTTGTTAGTTTTAGACTTTTTTTCGCACTTGCAAAGCTAACGACGTTCATACATTTAAGTCTACTCCCTCTTTTTGGGATTAAAATGTAATCTTCGTAATCTTCAACAACATACCTTATTCCAAGAAAACTATAAAACTACACGTAACTGTTAAGTTTTTGGTTTTGATTGATAATCCTACTAATGTTTGTCTACATTGATAGCGTCATGTTTTGATTTTATAGATAACAAAATTGCTTCAACAAATAAATCCCAAAAACTTGTAGAGATGATAAGTAATAATTTATACAAAAACTTCAAACAGCTAAGCAAAAAAGATTCAACGAGTACATTTGGTGTTTAAAAATGTAAAGCAACAACTAAGAATTAAAGAACTAACTCAACTCAACTAAAAAGAGGTTTTTGTTAGCAAAGGTGAGGATTAATCTAAATCGAATCAACGGCTGAGATCTCTGCTTTTCTTGGCCATTTTCAAAACCCGAGGAGATGATGATGACGACGACGATGTTTCAATATCCAGTCGCGTCCTTTTCCCTACAAGACCTCCGTCGCCGGAGGAGGAAGCTTCCTCGCCGCCGCTAACCGAAGACGACGAACTCACCACCGGAGGTTGTTCTTGCTTCGCCGCCGCATCCCACGGTACCACTTGATTCTCCGCTTCCTCCTCCTCATCCTCATCCTCCTCATCGCTCTCTTCATCTTCATCGTAAGATTCTGCGCCGTCGTCTTCTTCTCTACCGTTGATCTCTCGGCTCAGACTCTCCGCTTGATTCCTGCTGTTCTTGCGAGCTACACAAGACTCGCAGATGGAAACAGTTGGACACAGACGAAGACCGGAAGCTTTCCACGGCGTCGGAGATTGGCACGCGCTACAGAGAAGGCAGCGCGTGTGCTTAGCCACCAGAAAATTAGCTCCGTGAACCTTGCCGTCGCAGTCCCAGCACAAACTCGCTTCGTCTGACTCGCAAAACATTCTCGCCACACCACCACATAGCTCACACTTCGTCTTCCCCATCTTTCTCTCTTCCTCTCTTGTTATCCACAAACCTCTCTCTCTTTCTCTGTTTCTCTATATGATCAATATTCTTGGTGAGAGTCTTCGCTTTCTCTCTCTCTCTTTGTTTCTTTCTTTTTAAGTTCTGCGGACAGAAATAAGGGAGCAAAAGAGAAAGTACAATGCATAGGAGAATTTCGTGGCGAGTTTTGTGTGATTTAAAATTCTTTGAGGGTACTTTTGTAATTTACCTTAAGGAAAACACGATTTTTCACATATTTTTTTAAGTTTTATCCGAACACAATGCAAGGGGGTGAATTTTTAAATATTTTAAATAAAAATTTAAGGATTTGTTCAAAGTTGAAAAACTTATGGTGGAAAAATTGTGGATAATTATCGTATCCGTTCCTAGGATATTTTTGTTTTCTAGAATTTTATTAATTTTTTTTTTATCTGCGGCTCAGCATCATCCTCGAATTCTTACACTTTAGGAGAGATTATAATTAATAATGATATTTACTTGGTCATGAAACCATGTACATGGACAGGGGCCCCACGGCTGGTATCCGACGTGTCGATATATGATTCGGTTTATACACTGGAGATATTTTTTGCGGGTGATTTAGTTGATGACGTGGCGAGATATCAGCCCCGCAAGGAGGAGAGGAAGATTCTGATCTATCCGACGTGGACGAATCAGGTTCTCGAAGAGACTTATAGCCACGTGATCCCCACCTGGGAAATTTGTCTGGACCAAAATACACGTTTACTGGGGTCCACATTCTTTTTTTGGTTTTCATTTTCTATTCTTCCTCTCGCTCCGATCCAAGCATTTGTGTGAATAAGGTTTTCGATTAGTTTTGAATATAAGTAAATTTAATTTAACATTATTATTATTAAGGTTCGGATTACGATAGGATAATAATGATGATATCATGATAATTTAAAATGCATTTGGGTAGGGAAGTTGTGGTGCCCATGGATCAACCTTGTCGCTCACAATTTGGTATATTTGTAATGCTATTTGCAGTTTGATAGGAATCATTTCTATAAGAAATTATCATTTTAATAAGAAGTACCTAATTTATCTACCACTTTTTTCGTTCCATATTTCCATATGGCTGATTAAAATGTATTTTTCTATCTAAATTGTCGAACTCCACTCACTAATTTAAGTTCATTTCATTGGGAAACTCGTATTGTCCTTATTGTATTTGCTAAGCTCTTAACGGGGAAATGTTAATTGGTTAGGAGATACTTGTTTACCATCGTAGGACGAGAATTTGAGTGTGTTTCGAAAGAACTGATATATGTTTTTATGAAACTACGAACTATCACGAACCAAAAGCGTAACACCTAATCTAATAAATGTATGGCGAAGTACATGTGGTTTTAAAAAAACTTACAAGTGAAATCTTCGTTATTCTTAATTCCATCATAAAATATGTTTGTTCTGTGGATCTAATGTGTTCGGGATAACGTCTCATCACGAAACCATGACAACGACTAATGTGAAGTCATTATGAAAACAGATAACATGTATATTACATGTTTTGGTTTGAAATGTTTAATTACATTTCTATTTTTAAAGTATAGTTGGGCCTACGTAACAAGCTTGAGAAATTTTAATTTTTACGTGGCGAAGATTAGTGGTGTGAAGTGTGAGAATTGTGTGAAGAATCAAAGGAACACGAGATGTCTTCATTTGAGAGCCACATGCCTTAAAGGGAGGTTGATGAATGGACGAGTTGAGGGTTTTGTTTTTTACTTTTAAATGTGTGTGGATGAGAACGTTGGAGCAACTTAGAAGAAGCCTAGTCCTCCATAGACACACATGACACATATGTCACAAATTATTCCTTAACTTTCTTGTTTCTCTTTCTTCATGTGTTTTTATTTTAGTATTTGTTACTGTTGATTTAACCGAAGAATTCTAGATCGAAGCCCATACAACTTTTCTATTAATTAGGATAGAGATTTCACTCTCAACTAAAGTTCAAACCCTGTTTATGAAGCTTTCTTCATTCTAGTTCTTCTATAATATTATTTTCCAAAGTTATATTTGAAAATTACAATATATAGATTGTTTAATTAGTTCAATACACCCCTCCTCTCCACGATGAAGCACATATGAGTCGCAACCAAATGTGCAATAGTTATTTATTAAACCAAAGTTCTATGAGTAGTTAGATATTTTCTATCAAGCTATATACGAATCTAATGACATGGTACACACTGAATTAAATCATATATATGAATTGAGGCCAACTCTCTCCATATGATTGACATGTGGACACTTATTGAATTGACACATGACAAAGCTTTTAAAAAGAATAATCTCTTCACATTCTTAACCATTGCAGTCATTACATACATGTTTTCCAAAACCGTCGATTGCTTCACCTTCCACTTTATATTAACCCTCCATTAATTGACATATGACATGACTTTTCCTCTTCCTTCCAATTGATAACTTTAAATCTTATTTATTTGCTAAATATTCATTTTCTAAACAAAGACGGAAAATCAAAGTTCGTTTAATGTGATAGTAAGTAAACAAAGAGAGTTGATGGCAAATAGATATGTGGTATAATGCAAAATATAGATTTAAAAGTTAACTGCTAACCAGATAAATTGAAATTAAAATGCGAGTATTATTTGGATTATAGTTTATACTATTAATAATCGCAAATTTAAAATTATTTGACATTTTTCTAAAACTATAATAATTGGAAAAACCCGTGCGTATGCGCAGGCATTGGTCTAGTATTAAATGATAAAGAGTGTATGTGTTTAGGATGGAAAATGATATACATATACATACACACACCTTTTTATTTTTATTGGCTTGGACTGAATTTAGCTCAATTTGGTTTCACCAGATTATATACACCTTAGAAATAATTTTACAAAAAGAAAATGGAAAACAACGTTTACAAAAACAAAAACAAAAACAAAAGATATATGATATCCAGAAAAAAAAAAAAGAACAAAAAAAAGATATATGGGTTTGAAAAGAAAGTTGGAATTTACGAAATGTATTTTGTTAGAACTTAGAATCTATGAAATTTAATTTTTAGTTATCACCAAATCTTCCTCATCATTAGCTCTAAATATCAATCGTAACGTGCCCATAAAACAATTATGCAACTTATTTTTGTATTTTCTTACTTACGGTGATTTATTTATTTTTTTTTATTTTTTTTTTTGAAAAAGGGCATACGGTGAAAAAAAAATTCCCTTTATCGTTTCAAATTTCCTTTTCTTCTGTTTTCCTTTTCTAAAACTTATACATGATCGTTATCAAAACAAATTAAAACAAAGTTTAACACGATTACTATATGATTAATAGAAATTTTCCATTTTTTTTCTTCTTTATCTAGGGTTCATCGAATCGTCGTAACATCAGCCAAATTACTACCGTTTTTAATTAGTGATGCCGGCGATAGGTTACAACAATTCAACCAATCAACAGATGATCTATCGTTCTAAAGCGACGAAAACGAATTAGGGTTTAATCCGATTACGAAGATTTTCGATGGGTATCGTTGCTTCCAAGGGAGATCACAACACTCCATTGTTGAATCTGTGCAAGGAGAGGAATGATTTGATCAGAGCAGCGAGAGATGCTCGCTACCACTTATCCAAGTCTCATCTTCTCTACTTTCGATCTCTTTTAGATTTCAGCAACGCACTTAACCAGTTCGTGCAGAAAGATCTGATCGTGATCCCGTATTCCTCGGATGATGATGATGATAGTGAGCTGGTTTGTTCTGGATCAGATTCGGATTCTGAGTCGGATTCTGATTCGGAGTCTGATTGTTTAGTCTGCGATCAATCTAAGACAGTTCCATCGAGCAACAATAACGATCAGAATCAAAGAGAACCCTTGTCTGGAGATGGAACTTGCGGCTCAAGCAACAAGGGTATTGAGAAGTCGAGTGAAGAAGTAGGGTTAGGGTTTGTCGAGAAAGAGTCTGTGAGTGCTCCGGTTGAAGCTGTAGTGACGAGAGGCTCCGAGAATTGTTCTTATGTTAATCCGCAGAACGATTTCTCCGGTTTAGATTTCCTCGGTTTGTACGATTTGGCTGATAACAACCGGTATGTTTTCACTGAACCTGATCAGAGAGATGAAATCAATGAGAGTGAAGGAAGGAGAAAAATTAGGGAGAGAGAAGGGATTCCTGATGTTGAACCTGAAACTGATAGTGATCATTGTAGTCTTATAAGGAAGAAGAAGAAGAAGAAGAAGAAGAAGAATGTTGAAGAACCTTCTTCAACTGCTAAAGGTATAGGGGAAGTTGATAAGAGAGATGTGATGTTTAATGTTGAAGAAAGCTCTTCCATTGGTAATCTTGTAGGTGAAGTTGACAAGAGTAATGTTGAAGCAAGCCCTTTTAATGGTGAGGCTGATGATTCCAGTAAAGCTTCCACGCAAGGGTCTGCAAGAACTCCAGAGATTGTTGATGAAGTGAGAAGATCAGATGAAGACGCGAATGAGTCGTCTTCTTCTTCTACATCTTCTTCTTCTTCATCTTCTTCTTCTTCTTGTTCGGGGATGAATGATCTAAGGAAAGTAGTGGAGAAGATCAACTGTATATGCGAGGAAGCTGTTGTGAGTAATAGTGAAGTCTCTAAGTTGCTTGAAGTGAGTAAAGTTGTTCAACAACAACCATTGGGATCACAAGTTAAAGGATTTGCTTCAAGGTTACTTGGTAGCTCGGCTCGTAAACCGCTGCCAAACCGGGGTTTACAGGCAGATGATCGCGCTGGTTCGCTCTCCATGACATTAGAGAAGCTTTACATGTGGGAGAAGAAGCTTTACGCGGAAGTTACAGCCGAGGAAAAGCTTAGGTTTCTGTACGACAAAGCGTACAGGATTCTGAGGAATCTTGATCAAACCGGAGCTGAGCCGAGCGATATTTACGAGGCGGAAGCTGTGGTTAAACTCCATTTATCCAGGATTAGTGTTTCGGTTAGAGCGGTCGAATCGGTCTCGATGAGGATTCATAAGATAAGAGACGAAGAGCTTTCTTCTCAGGTGATTAGTCTCTTCAATGGTTTCAAAGAAATGTGGAGATTCTTGGCGAAGTGTCACGGTAAGCAGTTTCGAGCGATCTCGAGAAGCAAGTCTTGCGTTCACATTGTTGAGAAAGGATGTAGCTCGAGGAAAGCGACGCACAAGGTAGAAGAGAAGATTGGAAGTTTCAGAGAATCTCTTAGAGGCTACATTGATGCGCATAGAGGTTTCGTTAATCTCTTGAACGAGTGGCTAAACCGAAACATGATGGAGGAGGACGACGAGACGATGATCGAGGCTCCTCAGATATTTAGGGTTTGTAGCGAGTGGTTGAGAGAGATTGAGAATGTGGATGAGGTCAAAGTGTTGCGTGTTGTCGAAGAATTAGGATCTAGGTTTCGAGGGTTAGGGTTGAAGCAAGTAGAGGAAGAGAAACAGAGGATGAGAAGAGAGAGGTTGAGCAAAGAGTTGGAGAGGAAGACGGAGGAAGCGGAGGAGATTTTCGGGGCGGCGGTTGTTTTTCCGGGGAGTGGCTATGAACATGAGGCGGAGATAATGGCGGGACCGGAGCTGTTGTCTTTGAGAGAGAGTGTGACGCAAGAAACAGAGAAGCATGAGAGAATAATTAGAGAGTTAAACGACGCCGTATCGATGAGTCTGCAAGAGTGTTTGGTTCCTGTCTTTGAGGCCTTGCACGAATTTGGTGTTGGTAATTTTAAGGCGTATCAGAACATTAGAATTGTTTCGACAGAAACTCTATTGTTGGGTCAATCGTAGAAATAAAAATGTAAATATCAAAGAAAATAAAGAACTTGTGTGTTGATGATTCATCAGATTTCGTGTATAATAAAATCAAATACGACAGTACGCATTGAATCACGATATAGCTCCATTGCTCTTTAAATGAATGTTTTTGTGAGGTTTTCGTAAGACTCTTTGCATCTCGTAAGAAGCATCGGTTATTTCCGGTTATTTTTTTGTGTAGTAGCTCTCATTAGTCGTGAGAATTAAGGATAAGAGTTTGTGATTGGTCTATGTAAATTAAGTATTTGAAAACCATTGTTTGATTTGAATCTTGATCTTGTTGGTTACAATAAATGATTGTTGAATTGACAGAGTCAATAATCAAGATTCAGTGTTCTTTCTACGAACCAGATTCATATTACGTTTGTGGTTCATTCATGAATTCGTTTTGTTTATTTTGAAGAAGAAAAAGAAAATCATAAATCATTAGTGGACTGAGATGTTGAGTAAATTATGGATTATGAAAATGCTTATCCAATGAGGAAGAGATTTGGTAGGATGATTATGGAGAGTAATAATAAAAATATAGGCATGCAATAGAACGGGCAGACCAAGTGGAATATTCTGTCCACCATACTTAAGTTCCAATCAAAATGTGAACAGGTTATTTGTCTTCCAATAAGCGACAAAAGAAATCTGAATTAATAATCTATTATCGCACCCAAAATAAGAAAAATAATAGAAATCACTATGAAATAATAGAAATCACTATGAAATCACTTGTTAATTAACGTGCAAATTGGAGACTTTTGTCACCAACCTACGTCGACGAAAACTAACTCTTATCTTCGAACTTTAACTGGTTACATTATGATGTGATAGTGAAAGCTGAAAACTATTGAATCTAAAGAAATTATCAATCAAAGGAGAATATTAGGAAACAATGGTAGGGGAAAGTCGCAAGAAAAACTTGAAAACAAGTGATATCATCATACCGAAAAAAAAATGTTTGTTTTCTCCAAGTTGTGATTTGTTTTAATTTAGTTATTATTCGATTTAATAACATAGTAACACATTTCACCATTATCTTCTAACTTTGCTTTGTAGAACGCAAATTTCATGTCGAGATGAAATTGCGATGTTTAGCAAAAGGGGGACATAAATGATATATTGGGATATCAATTTGGAGTTCTTATATCTTCAGAAAACTAGATAAGAAATGCTCTTTTTTATCCAATTTTTGTTGTTTCATAAAGATAAATATTTTAATTTTTTGATACACTTTTTTCATATTTTAAGAAACATTTATTATATTTTTTTTGAGTTCTTATTGGTTTAAATTTACAGAAAACTGTTTAATTACAAAAATCTATATATCTATGATTTTTTTTTTTTTCTTAATATGTATGAAAATCTCAGAAAATTTATTAAAAATGAACAAAGGAAGTATAATTTTTTTTGCTATTTTTTCTGTTTTAACTTTTAAGAAAGAAAAAAAAACCTTTGTTCTCAATCGAATCTTTCCAATAATTTCATTGAAATTCTACACAACAAAACTAAACCAAAACCGACCAAATCTGGCGTATTTTCAGTGTAATCTAAACTAGAAGAAACTCAAAAGAAAAATAGATTTTAACAACTTTCCTTAATCAATGGAATCTAATGTCACTTGCTAAGAAAGTCACAGAACTTCACATTCAACTTCACTTTTTCATTTCCCATAGAAGGAAACAGACGAATTTACCCTCCGTACCTTCTTCGCTTTACGTGGGAACAGTCACATCGTCAATCAAAAAGACAATAATACCCTTATGTGACCTTCCCAGAAGAAACCAAAAATCGAGCCTTCCTTGGCCATTACCTGTAGCTTAGTTGGCTTCCATGGAGATGTTCCTTCTCGGAACTCCCGAAATTCTCTTCCTTTCCATATATAAAATTCAATTCCCTCTTCGATTTCATTAACCCATCTCTCAAATACTTCAATTTCTCTCAATCTCTCTCTGACTCAAATGGCGTCTCCTAAATCATCAACAAGACCGGTCCAGCAAAACCAAGAACCCAATTTCCACGATTTCTTCCCGGCGATGGCCGGAAACCTCGGAGGAGAAGGTCTAATCGAAGAGCTCTGCAAAGGATTCGAGCTTCTGATGGACGGAGACAGAGGAGTCATCACTTTCGAGAGCTTGCGCCGTAACGCGTCGGCGGTTCTCGGGCTCGGAGATCTGACGGACGACGATGTACGGTGCATGATCGACGAAGGAGATTTCGATCGAGACGGCGCATTGAATCAGATGGAGTTCTGTGTGCTCATGTTTAGACTTAGCCCTGAATTGATGGAAGCGTCGCGGTGTGTTGTCACGGAGGCGATCGAGGAAGAGTTTGGTGGTGATCGAACGCACCGGCATTGATAGAGAGAAGAAGCTTCTTACTGATTTGTTATTTTATTTTAACCAATTCTTCGTTACATTATTGTTGCCGTTCGAATAAATTGTTGGATAATACAAATTTATATGGAAAAATCATTGAGAACCAAAAGAAAAATTACTGAAGTTGAACTCTTTAGCATTTTTTTTTCCCTTTTCCTTGAGTCAATTCCGATATTTTGTGAAAGTCAATTCAAAAAGTAATGCCTAACCAAAATATAGTTTCCAAAATAAGAGAAAAAACCGAAATACATATGTGAATTGATTGGTACATGTACTTTATATTATCTTCCTATATACTCCATCCGTTTGTTAAAAATGGGTTTTCTAGCTTATTTTTTTGTTTCATAAAGTTATTTTTTCTAGTAGAATAGTTTTAATAAACAAAAAAAATAATAACAAAAATCAATATATAGATGCATACAAAATAAAATTGGAGGGTAAACTAAAAGCTTTGTAACAAACGTCTAAACACATCACTCATCAAAGTCCACATATAATTATTAGATCTGTGAGTGTGATTTCAACTTTCAACCACCTGATCATATTTCTACTTTTTTCATTAGTTAAATTTCTTTTTCCTAAAGCAAATATGGTTGCGACTTGCGAGTGATTAATCATGTATGGCTAATGCGTGTAGCCATGCAGTTCCTGAGATCCTGCGAAAAAGACCAAATCATGCATGTACGTATCTTAAGCGACACCTTGGTCAATAAAGCTATTAAAAAGCCGGTTACTTAGTTTACACGAAAATATGAACAGAATTAGGGGTGAACTGAACATAATAAAAGTGATGGGGTGAGAAAGTTAAGCATCCTTAAAACACAATCCAACTCTGGCATTTTATCATCATCTTCTTCTTCTTTTTTTTTTTTTTTTTTTTTTATATCTTAAACTGTTTTGACATCATATTTTTGTAAGTTTTTGGTTGGTTGATACTTTTAATATTTTATCATGTAGCTCTTGGAAAGAAAATGTTGTCGAACGTTCGCCCCCTCTTGCTTACAGCGAATGGTTTCTGTAGTTTAAAGGGATAAGATCCGAAATTTTTACATCCAAGTTCCAAGATATGATTTTTAAGATCCCCAAGCAAATTTCAAGAGGTATCATGATTATTATTGTGGATCGTCCACAGGACCACAGCTAAAAGATAATTTGAAAAGATTGGATTGTGAGGTTAGGGTTGTGGAGGATGGTTCGAAGTTCTCAATGCTGAAAAATGTAAGCGCAGGTTTCACTCGATCATGACCTTGTTGCTCGTCCACAGCAAGTTGATGATGTTATACATACATCATTTTGTTGACGTTTTAGATAATCATTGTATTTGACTGCAAAACGAAAGCTCATAAAATAACGATCGCTTTAATTGCTGACAACTATGTACTAGTTTAGAAACCATCCCAAGAATGAAACTTAAACATAACAAGACCAATTCAATATCCATTGTATCCATAGATTTGTGGACGTTTTCTTGGTAGTGGAAATGAAATAGTCAAGTGATATAACTATTTCAAACGAAACAAGTTAAATAATGCATTCGATATTGTAATTTGATGTACGACGAGACGACCCATCAAAATTATAAAATCTATTTATTTGTCTACATACATGATACATTTATATGTCTACATACATGATACATTTATCGTCAAAGAACGCATACTACGTGTTATTGTGGTAAATAAATGTATAGTAGTAGACTAGTACTACTAGTCTAGTAGTATGCGTTGCAAAAGAAAATTAAAAGTCAAAAAAGAACAGAGAATAATGACGAATGTGATGATGCAAAGGATTGAAGTCGGAATCTAGATTGGATCAAGAGCCAGTCAAGAAAAAGATCCAATGGCTAGATTGTCTTCGTCGAAAATCGGACGGACAAGATTCATTGACCCCACCCTCGGTCAATTTGACACCTACTTGGTTGTCTTCATGGGGCTCGGACCCTATTCGTTGACTTGTTGTCATTCTCAGTTTTAATCCTTCTCCATAAATATCTCATCTACATATTCTTTAAGATTATGATTTCAGTTTGTTGCGAATTGTGTGATGGATATGGATTTGGTGCAACAGAAATGAGGATTTGGTGATTGGTTTGTTAAAAGAACATTGAACAATTAATTAGACATAAAATAAAACAATTAGTTATTTGTAAAAAAAAATGCACTTCTTAAAACAATGCAAATAGTGAAAGTCTATTGATCTAGCGGCTAAGGCCTAAGAGATTAGTGTTTTTATATCAAATTTGGAGTTTGATATTTGCATGAGTGTAATTTTTTTTGTGTGCAAGTTATGGATGTAAAACTTTCACAGATTTCAACGTAGTATAAATAGATTAGTACTGTCGTGAGCTCGTGGATTACAAGTTTGTCTATTGTATGTTTTGGAAATTCTTAGAACTGTTCAATATAATCGTATATGTTATATGGAGTTTGATTTGATCGGTAAATAACTATTCGTAACATGATAAAAACCAAATGGGGATGATAATACAACCGGCAAAAGAAAGATTAAACCAATGAGCTTTTGTCATCTTTGATTCAGTTGAAATATATAATCTTCTATCTTATTATAATAAAGATTGTGTGCTCTTTAACAATTCAAGTTACTGATTATTAACTTAAACATGCTAGTCACTAACATAACATCTAAACTTAAGAGCTGTAATTGATGTTTAATTTCGAATCAAAACATTCATAGACGGCATTAGGATTTAAATCTATTAATTTTGAAAGCTTATAAAAATTTTAGTCAAGCTACCAATTGTTTTTTGATTGATTCGTTAACTTGAATAGATAAATTATCTTTGTTAAGAAGGAAAAAAAAAAGAAGAACTTGAATAGATAGATAAACACCATAATGCTTGTTCAGAAAAGACATCTTCTAGAGAAAACAAGTAAGCAGAAAGCTCTTTCTTATGTAAATATTTTTCAAATAAAAATCAAAAACAGTTTTGAGGGGAAAACAAACATTATGATGATGATGAGCGTGACAGCAACATATCATCATTATGATGTTATTTTTAATCATTTAAAATTTTAAAATAAAACCAAAGTTTTAATTTTCCCGCACCAACCCCACCTTTCCTTTTCCCCATCCAATACCAAAAGCTCAGGTGACGAAACGACAGCGTTTTATTAATCACGTCTACTCCCTATAATATTCGTCATACTCAAAATTGCCCCGCTAGTTTTTTTCCTTTTGATTGTTAGCTATATAATCAGAAGAATAAAGAGGCAAAACGAACTCTGTTTGCTATAAATTCTCATCCATGATTGTATAAAAATAATTAATTAGTCCATCTGATTTAACAAGTAATTAATGGTGGTTAGCTATAAAAATATAAACCATGGGGTGAGATTTAATTTGACCAAATATTCAGGGAGTTGAAAGTGATAAAACTAAAGAGTTCTGGAAAGAAAAAAAGAAAAAGGGATATAGAACCCACAGATCATCTTCCACCTCTATAAATACGCTTTCTCCATTTTCGGATCGCTAAACATTTATCTCTACAATCCAATCGAAAGAAAGCTTCAAAGATTCTCGAGAAGAACGAACTTACTATTTCAATGGCGACGAAAGTGTATATCGTGTATGTTAAAAATTTCTATTTTTTGTTTTTGTGATGGAGTCTAAATTAGTATAAGTGTGATTTTATCATCGCTCGTGTTTCTTCTTTTCTGATTCACTGTTTTTTCAGTGTTGATCGAAGAATTTTTCTCCAATGATTGATTTATCTCTATTGGTACTTGCTTTTGCTGTCCACTGATTGGAATTTGCGATGGTTTGATTTATGATTCGGCTCAAAAAACTCAAATTTGTTTCATTCAGTATTTTGATCTCTGATCCTGAAGTTTGTCGATGTGGGATTGTGATTCAGCTACTTGTAAATTGATTGCTGGGTCTGGAGTTTGGATCTCAAGTTGACTTTGAATCTCCTCTTGACATATTGCAGGTACTACTCTATGTACGGTCATGTAGAGAAATTGGCTGAAGAAATCAGGAAAGGAGCTGCTTCTATTGAAGGCGTTGAAGCCAAACTATGGCAGGTGAAAAAATTTGCTTACTCTACTTAGCTCTCTAACTCTGTTGATGACCTTGAAATTTGAGTCTTGAAAGTAGCTTGGACACATTTCAACATTAGCTTCATACACTCTTAGAGCCATTGTCATTTCCAATTCTTGACTGATAGTTTCCTTAGCTTAGCAAGTTTTCAGAATCAAAAAGATGCTAACTTTGTCTGGATTGTTTAGTTTGTTTGTGGCTATTAGGCTAAGCTTTAAGGTCATTAAGTATTGAACCTGATGATTGAATTCGTTTGTTGTCAACAGGTACCTGAGACGCTTCCAGAAGAAGCACTCGGCAAGATGGGCGCACCACCAAAGAGCGAATCACCAATCATCACTCCCAACGAGCTAACGGAAGCTGATGGTTTCGTCTTTGGGTTCCCAACAAGGTTCGGCATGATGGCTGCTCAGTTCAAAGCCTTCCTGGACGCAACCGGTGGACTCTGGAGGACTCAGGCACTCGCCGGTAAACCAGCGGGTATCTTCTACAGCACCGGCTCTCAAGGTGGTGGCCAAGAAACCACCGCGTAAGTTTCAAGAACACAAAAAACACTTCACATTCATCTCTTCTTGCCTACTATACATCTTTTAAAAGAACGTTTTTTGTGGTAACTATCTATCTATAGATTGACGGCGATAACTCAGCTGGTGCACCACGGGATGGTCTTTGTGCCCATCGGTTACACATTTGGTGCTGGAATGTTTGAGATGGAGAAAGTGAAAGGAGGAAGCCCTTATGGAGCTGGAACATTCGCAGGAGACGGTTCGAGGCAGCCAACAGAGCTGGAGCTAGAGCAAGCGTTTCACCAAGGCAAGGTCATTGCTACCATCACCAAGAAGCTCAAGGGATCTCCTGCTTAGTGAGAGGGGTTTATAAAAGACCTGTTTGGTTCTGCATTTTATGTCAATCATCATCATATATATATATATATATATATTCTTTCTCTTTGAATTTGGGGAAACTTTTGTGATTTTTCGGGTTTAAACTATTATTATTATTTCACAGCAATAATTCTTGTTCTTGGTTTTACGTATAGATATGTATGATTTTGTTACTTGTGTTTGCACTTCCAAACCAAACAAAAGATCATTTGTCATTTAGTATAGTTGTTTAAAGAGTTGTCTGGAGGAGAATACAAACTACAAAAGACAACATATAAAAGCAGAACTGCTAATATGCGGTTCTGAAGATTCAATAGTCAAAGGACTTGATGAGAATCGGTTAACATCTATTTGTGGCCCAGTAAAGTCTCATTGCTAGAAAATATGGTGGCCCAAACAAAAACCAATGTTGTATTTGCAGTGCAAGGAATAATGGTGCTTGCTTCTGTTTTTTTTTTTTTTTTTTTTAATTCTAACACATTGAGGACTTGTTTTCATTCCGGTGAAACCTGTAATTGTTTTGAGCACTAAATGAGTAAAAGTTATGTTACGTACTGTACTATTTATCGATGGGATTAGATTGAAGAAGATAAGGCTACTCATAAATTAGCATAGGGTAAGATAATGTTGTATAATTTTGTATGAATAAGGTTATTAAATTAGCATAGTGTAAGATAATCCATACACAAAAACAAAATCAAGATCAAGGAAAAACCTTGTCAGGGTTGTAAGCTTTTGGAGTTTCAAAATTATAGATCAGGATATCATAGTCCCTTAGAATTTGTTCAACGACATTCAAATCCCAAAGGCCACAATTGCCATAGTTGTCTATTAAGATGAGACGCGGTAAATGTTAATGAATGAGCTCTTCGATGGAGAGAGCTTCATGTGAAAAAAAAATATTTCATTATCTTCAGCAAAAATTATACCTCTGTTGATGATGATGTATCTCCAAGTAGCTCAGAGTATCAATCATGCACCTCTCTGTCTTTGACAGATGACACATCTCTAAGTGCTGAATATTCTGCTTTTCAGGTCAATAACTATGGACTGAATATCTTTAATTTGTATGGATTTCCCGATCCATCGCATGGAGAGGTGGTAGGTATTCTAGGAATGAGAGAGCTTCATAAGAAAAAAATTCTTCCATTCATCTTTGAGTAAACATGTGAAATGTCTCAAAATAGCGATTGCCCAATAATCCTGATTAAAAAATAGTTTATGGATTTACTATTGTTCATTATTTGTACATTACTAACATGTAGCAAGTCGAAAATCTCTAAGAGTGGTCATGTACCAAAAACTACTCACAAGTCACAAACATTGAAACATATATACTAAATGTTCAATTTTTTACTGTTTTTCATCATCAATGAGAGTATTATGATGAATCTTTAGGATTAATTATAATTTGAAAGTTATACAGTTTCGTTTAAGTTTGATCATTAGACATAAATTCAAATATGATTACAGGGAGAATGAGATTTGAAAATGAACAAAATGATATGGAACGAGTGGAAAAGATTAAAAGGATTTACAGTTATATAACTTATAAGTGGCTATCGTGATTTTATTAAGTAAATTGTGGTTAAAACTTAAAAGTGTTTTTCTTTAATTAGTTAATAATGTTTTTTAGGATTTTGTGGTTTTCAAACGATAATGTAATTTAGGATTTTCTTTTAGTGAATTATTAACTAGGCTAATACAATAATCTCATATTGTTGCTAATACAATAACCTCATATTGTTGACCGTGGAGTCGTGGACTAACCAATCTGATTATGAGATTAAATACAAAACAGAACAAAAAAGAAGAAGATGGTGTAATGTATTATGATAATGTTGGCTAATAGTGGTCACGGGACACACAAACATTGCATAGTGTTATGTTTGCTGTTTGTGTGTCACTGTATGTATTAATGTAAATAAAGTATGTACTATGCACATATACATGTATCTTCCTCTGCCCGAATTTAAAACAGCTATTGATGAGGCAAAAAAAATATTATACTTATCATGTTATTGTCCTGATGTGGCAACAAAAAACTGAAACTGGAGTAAAATACAGAACACAACATACACTGTCGTTTTACTTCAACAGTACTACTGGGCCAAGATATCGCCAACCCCGAGCCACAGTGTAAGCCCAGAAAGGGAACAAAGCTTTGATGTACCGCACGTGTGGGGTACCTGATGGGGTCGGTCAAAAGTCAACAACATTTTTAGCCACACGTGTTAGTATATTTGAGAGAGTGTTGGATTGGCCACGTGATAAATCCAGCAAATAACCGACACTCGGTATTTGCCATCTGAAATTTTCTATTTTGTCATACCAAATCATTTATAGTTCTTGTCATTCTCTTTGTCGCCCAAGAAAATGATATTTGAACAATTTAGTTTCAGTATTAGGTAGACGACCAAAGAGTTTCACGATATTGCATTACTGTTGAGTGAGACCAAAATGGTCGCAATATATCATTCTTCTCAAATATAGCTTTACATATACCTTCACGGTTTGTACGTTTGTTTTATTTTTGAGTATTTTGACTGGCGAACTTGCTATATTGATGATTTTTTTTTTTTTTTTGGTTTTTCAGTAGTTGAGCATTCAGCTGTGTACTACATTTCATAAATTATCTTTACATAACTAAATGATAAATTGTTCATGTGAGTTGGATTATGTTAAGACCTGAAGAGTACAACAATTGCTAATTATAATATAATTCACTAGAAAATAGAATAAGGAATGACTGTCAGTTTCTACTTGAGTAATTTCTAACAAAAACATTTCGTCTCTGAATAATGTCAGAAACCATTATGAGTATATTGTCTGTTTCGGTAGCACAGAAATAACAAAATAAAATCTGAATATATAACATTGTTGCTCAACGTCGGTATTATCTACCTTTGTTCGCTTGATTACAAAAGCATTTTTGCCATTTTTTTTATTTGAGTTGTGAATTGTTTTCTTTACTCATATTGAGTATGCAAAGAACAATTGCACGCCAGTTTTGTGGTCTCTGATGGTCACACAGGGAACAATTGTTCTCACAACTTGGCAAATTTCGTCATACTATTTATTGCTAATTTGCTACTCTCGAGATGATTTATATTCATCTATTATATGTAATAATAAAACACATATAAGTAACAGACTTGAAATTGCACTTGTAATTGTGATACTCTAAAGATTGAATATATGTTGAAAGTTGTGTTAATTTCGTCATAATTCACACTAGCTAACTTCTTGCAATAAAAGTGATAACAAATTGGACTGACAAGCTGGAGAAACTTCAGAGCTACTTTGAGAAAACTTAAACTGCCTATGTACATAGGATTAGAAGCTAAACATATTTCAAAACAAAAAAACAGTAATGCAAAATTAAAATTAAGATTAACATTAGACAGACAGGCATAATGATTAACCACTTTTTTCCCATATTCATGTGATTACAAAACAAAAAGGTTCAAATGGGACTAGAACCTTCTTCCTCAAACAGAGTCTCTCCTCTTCCTCAAACTTTCCTCTTTAGTTACTTCCCCATTGCTTGTGACCAGGGACCCATTTTGGACACTTGGGGCTGAAGTAACTCTCAACAACCCTAGAGTTTAGAAGCTCAATGATCGGAGCAAACTTCACACACCTCGGCGTCTTGTACTGATTAATCGATGCCCCTAAGCTTATAGCATAATCCATGAGCTTATCAAAAGTCCCTGACTCGACTATCTTGATCTCCAACGGTCCAATGGACTTGTCACTGACCCTTCCTTGTCTATACACAGTGTTAAGTGACTCCTCAATGGTCAAACAGCAATCCTCGAAGACCGAGGGAGGAACCGGCGTGTTACCGTTCAAGCAGAGCTCCCAGAACAAGACATAGTGGCCGGGGATAGATGATGTGTCCGCATAGCTAGTGTACTCGGAGAGTGTGGCATCAAACGGAACAAGGTGCGTCACCGCGTTTTTAACCGAGTTTTGAAGCTCGACCTCGTCGGTTTTGTCTGAATCAATGCTCAGGACCACGTTCTTGCGGCATATGAAGCTGAACTGAGGCGCCTTGTTCTTGAAACCAGCCACTCTCAGGACATCACCTACTCTGTATCTGTAAAGTCCTGCAAAGAAAGATCACAAAACAAGACAACATTCAACAATCTTTAGAAAGAAAACTTGATCACATTTAGGTGGGTTTGTTTTCTTACCGGCATAGGTGGTTACTACAAGCTCATACTCCTGACCAAGCTTGACATCAACAAGATCAACAAGCTCTTGTTGTTCTTTCTCAGTGAGTGCTTTCGGAAGACTGATTGAGCTAGTGACTCCACTGTTCCTATGAACAGGCAAGAACTCGAAATACGCCATGGTTGGTATGAGAGTGTAAGAGACCTCACTTGGTTTGCAAAGCGGCTTGAGATTCACACCGAAGTAACACTCTGAAGAGGCATACATTGTGCAGACAAGAGGCAAACCGTTGCTGTAATAATCCAAAGTCGGAATGTACTGTGACATTGTCCCGGTCACAATCACATCCACATACTTTGTGTTTGGCCAAAGTCTAGTGATGATCCCTTGCCAAGAAGTCTTCTCGCATTCCGATTCAACAAAATCGGCAAGCTTTGGGTCCGGTTTAAGAATCTCCTCGACCGCCTCACGAACGGAAAGATCGGTTATCTCGGAACTGAGTGTACCGGTTCTGATATCACGGACCAGCTCAGGCCAATGCTTCTCAAGAAACTTGATGGCTCTGATGAAACCAGAGGCAAAGACAGCGCCAACACGAAGAACCTCTTTGTGCTGGCACAAACCACAGAGCATCTGAGAGTACATGCTCTGGTAAGAGTCAGGGCAAAGGATGGTTTGGTTGGGGCTAGTGTAGTTGGTGTAAGGATCATAAGGTCTCTTTTTGAAGTGAGAGGATTTGTAGTAGCTGGTTAAGACAGGACGAGCAGGGAGACCACCTGGTGTCTTGGATTCGGATTTGATGAAGAGAAAGTACATTCCTTTGCCTTTGTCAAGACCAGGAACAAACTGGTTCATCACCGGCATCAACAGACTGTACAGAAGTGATCTTCTGTCTAGCTCCTCCTCTATTGTTGGCATCAGCTTCCTCTCTCCACCAGAAGTTCCAGAACTGTTTTGACATAATTAACATAAAACTTCAAGTAAGAAACTTTGTCAAAGTTTAGATTTTTTTTGCTATGAATCAATGATTTCAGAAAAAAGTTTGAGAATTTCTTATTTTTACTTTATGATAAAGGTTTTAACAGTGAACGGATGAGAAAGTGAGAACTTTTTTAAATACCCATTAAACCCAAATGAAGATTCGAATCTAAAATCTCAGGCAAAGTGATGAAACAGAGGAACAAAACAGAGCAAGAAAGGAGAAACCTTGTGAGGAACTCAGAGATGGGGTTAGAGCAGAGGATTTGAGAAGTATCGCCATTAGCGATTCTGTTGATCTCGGGCTGAATGTCTTCGTAGGTAACGACAGGCATGGTGTGTTTGAAAGTGTCGCGGTCGGTTCGTCCTTGGAGGCCGTGTCGTTTGAGGTACTCCACGTCAGCATTGCGTGAAAGGATCTCCTCAAGAACTCGTCTCTGAACATCGTCGGCGTTCGTTGTCACTTCCTCGATGAATCGGAGCTTGTTCGTGTTCTGCTCCGTGAGACTCTCATCAGAGACCTCCAAAGCTGCGATCTTTGGTGCCTCAGGCATCGTTTTAAGTTTTTTTTTCTTTTTGTGGTCGAAATGAGAAAGAGAGTCTGAGAAGAGTGAAAATGGTGAATAAGCTTGATCTGGTTTTTAAAGCTTGAAGGGTGTGAGGAAGAATGGAAGAGAAAGGGTTAATATATATAGAGGGAAGAAGAAGAAGGAAGAGGGGTGAGAAGATGTTGGAGGCTATAAAGGTAAATTCGCAAGATGTTATATCCAGGATTTAAGTGAACGGCTTACTATTCGTGTTTAATTGGATTCAGCTTTATTTTATTTCGTTTCATTACAAAAGTGGTACTATATATTTTATATTTTCCGTAATGGTCAATAGTCTACTCCATATTTTTTTTTGTTGGTAAAGTAGATACTTCATACTGACTTGAGTAAAAGTTTATTGGTAGAATATTTTAAGGACATTCAAATTTTAAACTATATTATTGGTACTCTCTAATTCGCCCCACTTTATTTTCAGCTCATAAAAAATAATTTAGATGGCCGATATTATTTTGAGCTCGTATAAAATCTAAATCATTTGGTTCTTATCTAATCTTCTATTTCCTTATGGTGGCATTGTTGTGGCATTTGTGAATTAGTTTGGATTCGCTTTTAGTTAAAACAAAAAAATAAGCTGTAAACTGAAAGGTACAATTATTTATTTCTGTCTAGTATACAAAATTGGAAAATATAAACATAAATACCTTTTGATTTATTTGAATGGGGTAGTTTGAAATTTGGATGCATTAAAATCAAGTTTTCTTGTATCCAATGTTATGTAACAGGGAGAGTTAAATTGCATTCTAAAAATGTAAAAGGGAAAATCAGGATTTGGCATAAATGAGGGCACAGACTTTAAAACAGAATTATCAAATGCAAACATAACCTTATGCGATACAAAAGGGGCATAAGCGAGGGCACAACACATATTTTATAACGGGATTTTACCCGGTTAACCAGGACCGAGAAACCGGCAATATCCGGTTAATCCGCAGTAGTTTCTAACGGAGTTGTCCCACAAAATACCGGCAGAAAACTCCCACGAAGCCTTTTCCAAAACCCTAAGCTAACACCGTCTTCCGTTTCCCGGTACACACAAAAAACGGCGTTCGCTTTTTTAATTTCTCGCGGTATTTTGAGATTTTTCGGTCAATTTCTCCAGGAGTTTTTATTTTATTTTTTTTATCGATAGAGGTGGGGACCAGACAGCTGGACTCCATAGTAATTGTTTGACACGTGTACGTGGTGTTGTTATAGTGTTATACTATGGAGTACTAGTTTCGTGCCTTCACGTAGTTTATTATCATGCGATTTTTTTTTTGCTGAATTTGTTATAATTTTGATCATCCATGAAAATCAAATGAGTATATAATCAACATTTTGTTGTGTGTGAACACCTTATGTTTTCTTCTAGATGGTTTTATTTAAAGAGACACTATACACGAAACCAAATTATGTTTATAAGAACCAAATCTGCTTTGTTTGTGTAATTAAGAAAATACTGAAAAAACCTAGATTAGTATAATCTCAATGTGTAATAGTATTAACGAGTTATCACATCGGGGATACTTATTTTTGACCTCAAAAGTCTAGCTAGATACTAACTAGAATTAGATACGAGACCAAGATGGTAATATTTAGCAAAGATATTATTCCGTCAAAGTGTCATCTGCTTTTCAATTTATATTCTTGTTTATCTGAGTTGAAATTCTCGATGTTTTCTTGTTGGAATGTTCTATTATATACAGTGCAAGAAAATTCTAGAAGAAGATACTACGGAACTTAAATGACGCTCCTTTATAAAAAGATCACTTCTATACGGTTAATAGGGTCTCAGTTTTAACATTTACGAATTTGTAAAATGGATAATTGGAAAATATATGGCATAATTAGGGACTAATAAAAATCTGCTAGTGTTCATAGAGACAAACGAAAATATGATATATTAGTAAACCCTTGTTACAAAAAATGATATGTTTAACCTGCTTGTGGTGGCGGAATGGTTGAATATTTGGATTTAAAAATGTGAATTTACAGAGGTTTTGTGCTTATAATTTTTCTGAGAGGTTTATTAAAATTAAATAAGTAGTATCTCTACATGTTTCTACGAACAATTACAAAATACCTTTCCTATCACAAAAGGTATATATATTCTTTCGTTGAAAAGTAAGTTCAAGTTTTATTCGACAAGCAACAATGTTTAATCGGGGAATATCTTCCAAACTCAAAGCCGCTGACGTATATTGTAAGGATGGATGATCAGTATACGTTTCGTCAAATTCGTAGAAACGTACGTTATACACACATGATTCGTTTTCAAAGATCACAATCAAAATTGATATATTAGGTTTTAAAAACATATGAGGGGATAATTCAAGTACTATATGGTTGCGCATAAGTACCTAGCTATATATCAAAGATACTAGTATAGTAGTATATATAACTTAGGTTTAAAATCAGTGCGTAACAAATAAACATATATTTGCGTAGACGACTATACAGGGGTACGCAATCTAATTCGTGCTTGTATTCTTTCTTTTTCTGTTTCTTTTTGTAGAAGTCAAATACTTTGATAAAAATTTGACTTACCAAAAAGAGTGAATCCTTTTTTTTGGCTAAGAAAGGTAGTCAAACTATATTTCTTGCGAGTTGCGAGTACACTTTTCTAATGACTTTGAAAATTATAATACCATTTGAAAATCATTCTAAGAATTTTTATTATGGAAAATTCGTAAAAACATCCAATATATATGACAATCCAGCAATCATTTTTATATTCTCGTGTCGATTTTGGCTCGCAGTATCCGCTATTTCAGGGTATGATCCATTGACTCACTAGACAGTTCCATGAAAAATAACTAGAAAGAGCTAAAATATCTGAATAATGACAACAAAAATTGAAGAGGGTTTATCGTTTTGAGAAATTTATGTTTTTGAAATGGAACCATCCAGTAATGCCACGTGGGAGCTCCCCGCAGAATTGCCCGAAGATCAGGTGGAAGCGGGTGCACCGAGAATGAAGGTAGGACCGCACCACCTCTTTGAGGCCAAGTCCGTAATTATCTCTAGCTATTCTCTAGTACGTAGTGTGACGACGTTTTCATCGGTACACTTTATTTTTATGTTGAATCCGTACTTAATTAGTGATTCTGACTCTTTCGTCGCTACACAAAGAGTTTCTGTTAGTGCTATACGGAAAGGCTATTGGAGGCACCGACCGATCATTGCAAATCTTTGACCATTGACCATTGAATTTTGTAATTTTCTTTATCTTTGCCGAAGATGTCAATTTGTTTTTTTTCTTTCTTTCAGTATTTGTTGAAATGTTCATTTCGAATGAGGTTAAGACTTGGAAACACAAGAAAACAAGTAAACACGAGCTGTAATAAACTAAATGGCCCAATGATAGTGAAGGGTCAAGTTGTCCGAACCAAGTGATGAGATATTTCTTATCACTTGTGTGTAAATTGTTTGTGGAGGACGGAAAAAATATCTTGGATAGTGTTTAATGTTAAACATTTAAAGTCCCATCCGTGCCATGTAACCTTCGACCTAAACCTAATCATAAACTGTATATAATTCTGTTTTTCATATAAAAAAAATACTACTCCCTCCGTTTCAAATTAGTTGTCGTTTTGGGAAAATGTATCTGCAATGCAAAACATGTCCAAATACGTCCAAATATTTGCAGATACATTTTGCCAAAATGACAACTAATTTGAAACGGAGAGAATAATATATAATTCTGTTTTTTTAGGTTAAAGAATCATGTACATACCTCGAACATGATATAAAGCCATCAAAATATATACGTATTATACTTTAATACAATATATTTATGTGTGTTTTTATCTGTTTTACATACCTACGTACGAATACGTTACGTACGTACATCCAAATCAATTTTCTCGCAAACTGAACAAAAGAAAAGCAAGAGAAGAACATATGACAAAAGCTGATAATTAATTTTAATTAATTGCTGGAGTCTGTTTCGTTTAACTTATAATGATGGTGTCACAACGTGCATGTGGATGGTTGAATGCTAAATATGGCTTTATGGTTTACTGAACAGCATATAGGATATATGCGTTATTTAATTAATTACCGTCAGATACTGCTTAACTAATCTTTCACTAATACTATACTCTCTCCGTTTCAAATTAGTTGTCGTTTTGGCAAAATGTATCTGCAAATATTTGGACGTATCTGGACATGTTTTGCATTGCAGATACGTCCAAATATTTGCAGATACATTTTGCCAAAACGACAACTAATTTGAAACGAAGGGAGTATCAAGTTCATGGAAACCATTGAGGTGGTCCCTAATTGTTTCTTGTATCCCGATCCCGTGAGATAAGAGTCAAACCTCAAAATCCTAGTTACTTGTGTAAACACTAATTTTCCGGTTCGCTGTAGCATATGTTGGATGTGAAGTTTCCAGTACAATAATAATTTTTCCTGAGACCAAGTATTGGACAAATTATCGAGCATCCAAAACTGAAAAGATTTGAAAAGATCTTCTTCTTTTTTTGTATAGAACTAAAGTTGATCTTTGTTCAAAAAAGAAGAAATTGATTTTCAGATATTTCCAAATTTATGGTACGGTCGTCCAAACAAGTTTGCCAACTCATCAAAATTATGTTATGTATATGTGCAGTGTACACAATATCGTATTATTCTTTTTATTTATATGTGTAGTGTACACACTATATCGTATTATTTTTCTTTTATCAAAAAAAGAAGAGACACAGTAATTAACTAATTATCAGTCAATTCTCATTCACTCTATAATTTTTAAAGCAACAGTAAATTTAATAAATTAATAAGGTGGTTGTCCCGCACCTTGTGCGGGTACAATATTTTTTAAATACAATTATTAATTAAAGATTTAAATAATATAAGTAGTACAACTTTTTATTGTATTCATCGTTTTTGTTTTCGCAAACTTCTTATTTTTGTAATCTTGAGGTGTCTTATTTTTATCTTCTCTTTCTTGTTCTTCTACGTAA